TAATGTTTGTGAGATTGCATTTGCAATCAACACCGATATGATAACAGGTATGATATGTGTCATCTGACCCGTCAATTCAAATACGATCACAGAAGTGCTTATGGTATGCGTTACAGCACCTGAAACAGCAATCAAATTACTACTCTTTTAACCATCATTAAACTATTTATATACCCGAAAAAGCAGCCGCACCTAAAACACACAAAGCATTCAGTTATTACAATTATTTCAATACTGTATTTAATTATTTATCATAATAAATCATTACCGACGACAGCATAACCTCCCGGTACTATTGGGTTTCGTGAGCCTCCAAATGATATGCCCGACGGAAACAATTGTGCCATAACTTCACCTAAATTGAGTTGAATTGCATATTACAAAACAAATACTGTATATTCAAATAGAATACATACCAACTAATCGACCAAAAGCGGCTCCGATTTTGAACACTATACAAATCAAAATATAATAATTAACCAAAACTTTCAAAAATGTTCGGGTTGCTATTCTGGAATCGTTTAAGTGACAATTTACGTATGCAGATTCATGTCATTTTTACAGCATAAGTTATTTTCCGGTTACGTGACTATATTATGAGGAATTGGATGGTTTGTATTGAACGATATAATTCATTGCATTTAAATCTAATTTTCTTTTTTAATCTCATAGGATAACATGCAAAAGTTGGTGCTATTCTTATGCTGCTATGTGAAAATCTATAATCTGATAGTGGTTCTAAGTTATTATAACACTGTTACATGTACTCATTGCAACCCTAACCCCCGGTTCCAGAGTAGCCCGACTGTAAAATTAATAATGACATATAGAAACTGACCAGGGATGAAGGTTCCATTTGGCACCGGGATTGTTGACGCCAGTATTGACATCCAGAACTAGTCATATAAATGTATGCAAATGTATATTAAATTACTATAAGTATTACTTCTAACTCATGCCTTACTGTCATTATTATATAAAATGAAAGATTAAAATAAATAGATGTGTGTTCTGTAGACCAGTGTTTATTCATTTTTAAACCATCCGGATCTGAATGGTTGTGTCCCCACGTTATGTTACTAAACATCTCGCTTATCGAGTCGTGAGTCGACAACTAGAATAAAATTATTATTAATTTTACACGATTTCAATAAAATCAATAAAGGGTTGTAATAATTATACAATTGTTAAGAAAATAAAAAATCTTATGTAACATTACGAACCGTTGCGGCCATATATTGGCCCAAAAATAATGGGAAAGAGATTGATGTCAAAAATAATGTAATTAAACCGGGATATAGGAAGCGACTGCAAAAATTAATGTATATTTTTAGTCATTACATGTATTTTAAAAATAATCATTTTATACTTTTTCTGCAAAAATGCACTCAATTTTTTATGTGTCCGAAAAAAGTTGACAATTTTGCGGTGAAACGTGACATAACCGGCGCCACCGAAACCACAGGCAACACCTATTAGTGAGAACACAAACAGTTCCTGAGGATCGAAAGGGAAGTCCGCTCTGAAGT